AATATGGTATATACTATGAGTAAAACTAGTCAAATGAATTCACTGAAGGTCTGAATAATTAATTATAAGACACCCAACAATGTTATGTAAAGTAAATATATGTCCAGAAGGACATGGTTTCCCCATGTGCCTGGTATGAACCTAAGTGACTTTTGACAGTTTTTAATTTATATTTCATTTTTAGAAACAATTGCAAGTCACTTCAGAGTCTAGTGAATGGACTGTACAATGAGAATAGTGTAATCTAATAGTGAGCTGTCCCTGTCTTGCCTCATATGAAACATTATGACACATTTTTTTTTGTGTGTAGTTGACTTTATTGATTGGTTAGAAAACATAAATTTGTCCAAAGACACACTGAAATTTAGTGGCAGAAATAGAATACAAATTTCCAGTGCCCATCTCCTATTTAATTTCTGATCATTTAAAAATGATTACCTAAGTGAGTTACCATTCAAAGTCTGACAAGGACATTGCTGATTAAAGTCAGGTCTCAAAATTTTTAATTATTTCAATCTTTATATGTCAAAACCATTAGGTGACTTGTTTTTCTTTCCAGGTCAACACATTGTAATGAGAATATAAATTTCTTTTTGATAAATTCAGGACCAATCTTATTTTCTTCCAATTTTAGAATGTAACTTTTAGGTCAGAAAAATGTTTATAGCAAAAAAGAGAAATCACTGAGAGCTGATGGACATTAAAGTGATGTCCCAGTACCTCAAATTCCTTGCCCCTTTCTGTTCAACCTTCTTCTATGTGTAGTTAAGCTCATTTCTTTATAATCAAATAAAGTGAAAATCAACCTATTTTAAAGAGGTGGTATTGACCTAATGAAAACCATGTAAATAACAATTTGTCAAAAATATTTTATAATCAGAAGTTATCATTTGTGGGTTAAAATGTACAATTGCATAAGTGTATAAGGAAAACAAAATATAGATATATTTTTCTTATCATTGAGAAGTTGTGACCATTTAATTGGCCTTCATTACATTGGTAACAGAGATGTGTCAGCAATCTTTACAAAGCTTAAACAAATTGTATTCATTATAAACTTATCATCAAGATTGACTTAATTGGGCTGTCTCAGTAGCAGAAAACATGTTAGTTTGCTCAAACCTTTTGAACACATATTAACTGTTGACTGCACACATTACTATACTCTCCCATTCCTCAAAGCTCTTGTAGTGTATATAGTCTTTAAAGTTAAGTCGTGGGTAAAGTCTGTTCATGAAGATTTCACTGCATGAGAGTTATGCATTTCACATCTCACTTCAGATGGAATATTTTGCAATTATCAAACAGGACTTGTGCTTGCTTCCATGATGACCTCTTCTCCCTACACTGGACTTTTATGTCAAATTAACATAAAGATTACTCTTCAACTATTTCAGAGAGCCAGGCAACCTACAATGATTGTATTATTACTGCCAATTTGCAGATGAAGTACAGAGAGGTTAGGTAACTTGCCCATCATCACACAGCTAGTAAGTGGCAGAGTCCTAGTGGAATCTCAGCAGATACAGTTCCAAATCCCCCATTCTGGTTCTACAGAACTTTGTCTCTCAAGTCTTGAATTGACATTTCCTTGCAATTATACTTAAACAATCATAAATGTTTTTATAGTGAAAATAAATGTTATATTTGTGTCTTTACCCATCCAGATTTTAGGGCCATGTTTTTTTTCTCATAGAAAAGAAGTAAACAAACAAAAACTTTTTATTTATCTAAGATTTAACAAAGCATTTTAATTTTTATTGTATTTTTCCATTACCATTTAGTACCCTTATACTTCCTTCCACCCTGCAATCACCTCGTTGTTGTCCATGTCCAGGAGCCCTTTTGCTTTTTTGCTCAACCCCCTGACTCCCTATCACCTTAGCTGTCCTCCCCCTGCTCTCTATCTAAGAGTCTGTCTCTGTTTTGCTTGTTAGCTCAGTTCGTTCATTGGATTCCACTTAGATGTGAAATCATATGGTATTTGTCGTTTTCTGACTGGCTTATTTCACTTAGCATGATGTTCTCCAGGTCCATCTATAGTGTTGCAAAAGGTAATTTTTTTCCTTTTTTGTGGCCACATAATATTCCATTGTGTAAATGTCCCATAGTTGTTTTATCCACTCATCTACTGAAGGACACTTAGGCTGCTTCCACGAGTTGGCAACTGTAAATAATGCTGCAATGAACATAGGAGTGCTTATTTTCTTAAGAATTAGTGTTTTGGGCTCCTTCAGATATATATTACCAGAAGTGGGATCCCTGGGTCAAAAAGCAGGTCTATTTATAATTTTTTGTGGTAACTCTTTACTGCTCTCTATAGTGGCCCCTCCAGTCTGTATTCCCACCAAAAATGCAAAAAGGTTTCCCCTTCTCCACATCCTCACCAGCACTTACTGTTTGTTGATTTATTGATGATAGCCATTCTGACAGGTATTAGATGATATCTCATGTTTTTAATTTGCATCTCTGATGATTAGTGATGTTGAACATCTTTTCATATGTCTATTGGCCATCTGTATGTACTCTTTGGAGAAGTGCATATTCAGGTCCTTTACCCATTTTAATTGGGTTGTTTGATTTTTTTGGTGTTGAGTTTTGTAAGTTCTTTATGAATTTTGAATATTAACCCCTCATCAAGTGTAATGGTGAATATGTTGTCCCATCCTGTGAGTTGTCTTTTCTTTTGTTGATATTTTCCTTTGCTGTACAAAACCTTTTTAGTTTGATGTAGTCCACTGGTTTATTTTTTCTTTTGTTTCCCTTGCCTGGGGAGATATATTTGATAAAATATTGCTGCAAGCAATGTCTGCGATTTTGCTACCTGTGTTTTCTTCTAGGATTTTCATAGTTTTGAGTCTAACATTTAAGGCTTTAATCTATCTTGAATTGATTCTTGTATGTGGTGTTAGAAGGCAGTTTAGGACCATAGTTTAAGTCTGATGTTTCTATGATATACTTGAAAATTTGGGGGCACTAATAGAAGGTTTCTGTAAAGCCTGTCTCTCAAGGGAAGATGCAGTATTTGAAAATGTACTCATAATTTATAACTATGAAGGAATATTGCCCTTTATACATTTTCAGTTGCATGACTAAGATAGATTAGTAAGGGGTAGCTTTGTTTCATTGCTATCAATTCAAAGACCTGGCATTTTAATTAAAGCAGTCTCCTATAAAAAGGTTCCTATTTAGAACCTTCACAGGGTTGATCATAGTTGTTTAATCTTTTATTTTCTTCCTTTCTCTTCTGTATTTTTTAATTAAAAAATTAAAAGTAATAAATGCCAGGACATAAATATTGTATTGTCCTCAAAATGTTTTTCCCTGGGATGAGGTTAAAATTAATGAATGGAAGATTACTGACTACTGTTAAATTGGCTGTTCCTCACAGGACAGGCATAATTCCTGTGGCAAGTGGGATTTTCAGACCATTTCTAATGCACTCAGAGGATCATCTAATCTAATCCCGGAAAGAACACTTCCTTGAATTTAAGACATTGGTGTTCTTTATTTGGCTTTAGAAAATAACAAAACTTTTGTTTGTTTGTTTTCTGTCGGGCACCAACCTTTTTGGCTTACCCTGTTGGCATCGCTCCATTAGAGAGCTTCCTGGAAAGCAGCTCATTTGGGTGTGATCCGGAGATGCTTTTGTCTGGCTTCTGGGTCATGGTTTAACTCCCATTCGTTAGACCCATGAAAGATTTTTTTAAATGGTGCAAAGTCCTCAAGTTCCAAGTAAGACTATTTTACATAAAAGTCCAGTGAAATTGATACTTGGCCAGAACTTGGAATAACTGGGAAAAATATCAAGAAAAATAACTTTTATCAAAAGGCAAATTAGTTTTCGAGGCTGGTGTTAATTGTCAGCCAAGGTGTTTCATTATGAAGCTGAATGTTTAAGAGTTGTTACTTGGTTACTATGAAAACACCAACCAGAGGGAAACATGTACTCTCTGTTTCCCGTCTCTCCTAGTCCCTCTACCAACCTGTCAATAATTCGAACGCTGTTTTAAAGCCTTAGTGCTGCCTAGAAGTTACCTGTGTTGGGTGTTTATTCAACTTCATTCCTGGAAAAGATGGGTATTTCAAAATCAAAGGGCTCAGGGACGATTCCATTCAAACTTCAGATGTTGTATTTTTCTATTTTGCAATTCTCTGTGTTTGAATGAAACCTTAAGAAGGCCTTATTTGGAGAGCTATTTTTTCTTTGTAACCTGGCACATAAAGCTATCCCCAGGAAATATGACTACAGAGATGATTCTTTTGGATGAAGCAATGTGAAATGTGGTGCTTTATCTCTACGTGTGAGTGTACCTACTGCTGTTTTTTTTTAAGGAAAAACACCTGAGGGCCATAAGTAGCAAGTTCCAACTGTTTATTCCCCTCCACAACAGTAACCAGTGTGAAGGTTTCTCTCCACACACAACATATCCAAAGCTCCTGGGAGTATGTATGCTTTGATATTTTCCCCATTCTGACATTTCACCAGCTGGCTAAGGAAAAAAAAATAGTTTGCTGAGTAAGGCCTCAACCTATAGTCAAAAAATTCCTATATTGTCCTATCTGTAGATATCCTTTAAATTTTTGTTGTGTTCAGCATCTAGTTTTATGGTGATATATAGAAAAAACTATTCTCTGTGGATGATGTAATAAAAGTATTGGTTTAAATTACCTGACAGCAGTTCACTAGCCAAATAATTTAAAGCTCTGATTATAGCCTTAATGAAGCCTTTGCTGTTCATTCTAAGAAACAAGCATGGCTATATTTTTGTCCTTCCAAACAAAAGCAGGTTTTTCTCTTGCCTTGCAAGGTCTCAGCTCGGGTTTTACAGAACAAAATAATGAATGCTTCTGCTGCGGCATGTCACAGGGGAGGCTGGGACAATACTGAACTCATGCACACTGCTGATCCTTGCTTGCTCGGCAGCATGTACACCTGGATGTCTGACAGCTTGGTGGGTTCACTAGAGACCTCTGTCATTCTGTTCATCCTCTCGTAGGCAATGGTGGAGACAGTGAACAACCTCCTCCAGCCACAAGCCTTGAATGCATGGAGAGACCTGACTACCAGTGATCAGCTCCGTGCTGCCACCATGTTGCTGGACACTGTGGAGGAAAGCGCCTTCGTGCTGGCTGATAACCTTCTGAAGACTGACATTGTCAGGGAGAACACAGACAATATTCGTAAGTGGCCTTGGTTCTACAGACGGGCCGAAGACCACTGTACAGCAGGAGAGGGAAAAGAAAAAAGTATCTGTGGTAGCCTAGATATTATGAATGGTACTCTATTCTTTTCCTATAATTATGAAGATATCACCTGTCATTGGCTTTCAAAAGCCCTAGTAATCATCTCTGTTATCCTCCTTAGGACATGCCAATGTTGAATGTATTAGCCTGAGATTACTTACAGTGAGGTCCATTTAATTTTATTTTAGTATTTAATGTATATTTGTTGATATGCATAAGCTCCATAATGCAGGGCTTATGATTCACTTCAGTTATTATAGGAGTGCCTCTGAATTACACACTGTAAAGAAATCAGTCATTGAAGTTAGGGGTTAAAACTATTTTTGATAATTTTGTTATTGGCTCATAAAGAGTATAAATCTATTTTATTGTATATAAGAATGTAGTTGACAGTTTTATTTCAAAAGATTTGATAAAGCTGTTTCCAACTTATTAAATTTAATGACAGATCAATATTGACAAAATAGCGCAGCTCTAGATTATGAAAGTATTTTTATCTAATGCATAAAATAGAGATATTATTTTGAAAATAAACTTTAAGTTAATGGCAAAGTGTAAGGATTTGAGTTTGAATTTTAAATTTCAACTCCTAACTGATACATTTGAATTCTTATGTGCCTACTTTTCATAGCTTTTGTTTGCTTTATTTTGAAAAAAACTTGTGATTGTAAAGTAATACTTCCTAAATAAAAGATGGAACTACTGTAAAACATAATGAATAGAAGATTAATTCCAATATTTTGATTTCAGAACTATTCCAGTGATTTAGGTAATTACCTTAGCTCTGTAATATTTCTCAGTAAGCACTCATATCTCTTTGCTATTAACAGAGTTGGAAGTTGCAAGGCTGAGCACAGAAGGGAACTTAGAAGACTTAAAATTTCCAGAAACCATGGCTCACGGAAGCACTATCCAGCTTTCTGCAAATACGTTAAAGCAAAATGGCCGAAATGGTATGTCAGAGTATAGCTTGGTAGGATCACACCTGCCGTCAATGCATCCCATAGCTTCATGGCTTGGAATTTTAAATGTGTTGTTCAAAATCTAATATCCAAGTCATCTTCTGTATGTCTCCTGTTGCTCCACTGTCCTCATTCTCTTGCTATTCCTCCTCTTTCTATGTCCTGCAAAAACAGTATGGCAATAGCATTTGTTTCACAACGTTCTAAGATTTGGAAATGGTGTCAGTTGCAGTAAAATGTCACAAAGTGGAATATGAGAGATATTTGAAAATTAGGAAATCCAGATGATCTGACTTTTTCCCTTGAAAGGCATAACTTTTACTGAGTTGTCAGATTTGGTTTCTAAAATTTTCAGCAAAAATTTTACTTGTAATTTTAAGATTACATGTTTCTTCTTTATTTACTTCTTGTGAGGAGATGCTCCTGTGGAAGAGAACTCGTAAATGTAGGCCAGGTTAGGACTGGATTAAATTCAGGTATTTAAAATTAAATAAATAAATAATCCCATAGAGACCGTATATCTCAAGCCTCACTAATATTCATTTGAAAGTGTATATTTTTTGCCAAGGAAGTAAGATCTTTTAACCTGTTAGTGATAGGAAGATGACCTCATGTCCTAGCAACCAACTGAAAGCTGATGTGGCGTATTGCAGGGTAAACAGGTTTTTTTAAATAGCCTGTTAAATAATATCAAGGAAAACAAATTATGTTTGTTGTCAGCCAAGCAAAATTCTTTTTAAGTGTTGGCAATCTTATAAGATTGAAATTGTACATCCTTACTGTGTTGCTAATTTGACCATGTGGATTTGGAGGCAGCAATAGGATTTGATGTAGAACAAAATCAGAGTCCTATATTAGCTTGCTAACTGGCTTCCCTCTCACTCTTGCCTTCAAATACCATATCCTATGGACATATGTTCTTCCTGAAACAGTAATCTTCCCAGTTTGCTTACAGTTAGAATGAAATCAAATAACTAGTCCTACCGTGTGTGGCCTGGTCCACTTCCTTCCTGCCTCATGTGCCCCACGTCACGCCTGTGCTTAGCATTGGCTCTGTGATCCTAACAGTTTAGTCTCAGTTCTTTATTTTTATTGAGATATAATTGACATATAACATACCAGTTTCAGGTACACAGCCTAATAATTTGATATTTGTATACATTGCAAAATAAATAGCACAATAAGTCTGGTTTACATCTACCACCACAGAGTTACTATTTTTTTAAACATTTAAGATTTATTGTCTTAACTATCAAAATATGCAATACAGTATTAACCACAGTCAACACACAGTACCTTTGGCTCCCCTTCACCCATTTTTTTTCTATATCTTCCCTACTCCCACCTCTGGGAACCACCAGTCAGCATTTTACTTAAGATTTTTCATATCAAGGTCTGTCTGGAAAACATCAAGCCATTGTTAATGAAACCAGAATGGTTTGTGAGACATCAATGTAACCTGGCAGCCAAGGAAGTGGACCAGCGTGCACATGTGTGAACAATGCTGACTTCACTGTACTAGTTAGTGAGGGCTCTGGATGCCCTTGAGTGAGCATGTGCACTGTGTGACAGTTGCATTCAAAATGAGCAACTAGAGCAATGGATCTGCAGCAAATTTTGCATTAAATTTGAACATTCTTCCATGGAAACCATTCAGATGATTCAGAAGGCTTTCAGGATGATGCAATGAGTGCAGTGCAAATAAAAGTGTGGCCCAAATGCTTCAAAGATGGTCAAGGATCTGTTAAAAGTGATTCACATTCTGGAAGGCCTGCAACAAGTAAAGCGCCTGAGAATGTTGAATGTGTACAGCTGCAATCCACAAAGGTTGCTGACTCACAGTGATCTGGGGACTTCAAAAACTATTGTGTCAAAGACGTTCGACACAGGATCTTGGCATGAAACATGTTGTGCCAAGTTCATTCCTTGGCTTCTGCTAGCAGAAGGAACATCGTGCTGCAGTTGGGAGAACTGTGTGAGGTCCCAAGGTGCCTCCTGTGAAGGAGACCAAGTTGTCATTGTCCTATGTACACTGTTTCTTGTATCTTCTTCAATAAATGTCTCTTTCTCATAGTACATGGCTGAATACTTTCTGGACATACTTCATTATTGAGGTCATACAGTATTTGTCTTTCTCTGTCTGACTTATTTCACTTAGCTAATGCCCTAAAAATTTAGCCATGTTGTCACGAGTGGCAAACTTTCTCTTTCATGTTGAATATTCAAGTACATTTCATTGTATTTGTATATACCACATTTTCTTTATCCATTTATCTACCCATGAACACTTAGCTTATTTCCATGACTCGTCTCTTGCATAATAATGCTTCAGGGAATGTGAAGGTCTGGAGCATAAATCTTTTCAAGTTAGTATTTCCACTTCTGATAAATACCCAAACATGAAATTGCTGGACTGTGTGGTAATTCTGTTTTTAATTTTTTGAGGGACCCTTCATCCTGCTTACTGTAGTGGCTGTACCGATTTACGTGCTGACCAACGCTGCACAAGGGTTCTCTACTCTGGTTTGGATGCTGTTTCTTGAACACACCAAGAGTGTCCCTGTGTCAGCTTTTTGTGCTTTTTTTTTTCCTTCCTGGGATGCAATTTTCACAATTCTTTGTATAGAAGCTGCTCATCATTCAGTACTCAGTATAAATATTACCTCTTTGGAAAGGTTTTCCCTATCTCCCTAAAGATGGACACTTCTCCCATTAGCCATTTTATGCCAGCTCTTCTTCATAGCACTTACCCATTTTCCATCATATAGAATTATTGTCATTATTACCTGCTTATCGTCTGACTCTCTCTCTAGGCCATAAGCTCCATAACAGCAGAGACCTTTGCTAATGTATTCACTGATATAACACTAGTGCCTGGATCCACTCACTAAAAATTTATCAAATAAATATGTGAACTTTCAGAGACAAAACCAATGAAGATTGAAATATATGTCTATATTAATCATGTTATGCCTTGTGTTCATTTATTTTGTTGACCAAGTTAATGTGTGTGTGTATGTGTGTGCGTGTGAGAGAGAGAAGCATTAATTTTGGAGTGGAGGATTTTTAAAATACATATATGTCATATATATATATATATATATATATATGATATATAAATTCAAATCACCAAAGGCACTGGTAAAACAAAGTCAGATATCATGTTACTGGAGAGGGATCAAAGTCAGGACTCTCAAGTCCTGAGCTTGTTTCTAGGTTCTTGTCTGTCTCTCAAAAGAAAAATTCAAGCAAGAGACAAGACATATAATGGAAATGAGATAGCAAGTTTGTTTATGAAACACATAGGAGCAGGAAGCTGCAAGCAGGCACCTGACTAGTTTAAATGCCCCAAGTTGAGAGGAAATAAAGTTGCTAGTAAGTTTGTTCTGTACATTTGAGCCGAGGCTGCAAATGGGCGCTCAGCTGATCTGAGTGCACTGACTGTTGGGGTTTAGGGGTTGTATACTATTGCCAGTTTCTGGATTTCCCCTCTTTCTCTCCCACTTCTAAACCTTGGGAATAATGCACAGCTAAAAAGGCCTTCTTTCTCAGTTAGTAAAGGCTCTTTGTTTAGTTAGTGAAATTGTTACCCAGGCTCCCTTTCCCGGCACAGAGTCTCAAGGGCTCCCTTCCTCATGCGCTATCCCAGTTGTGATGTTCGGATCAGCTGGTGATCTTATTGGACCGGGCTCAGTGCTGCTGAGTTAATTGGCGAGACCTGACTTCCTTTTGTTTCCAGTCTCCTGCTTTAAGTTGTTTGTTAGATTGTAATGGTGGGGGCCCTGCTTCATTTTTCCTCAGGCCTCTCATTTCTGGCTGCTGCCTACAGTAACAGCAACATGACACCATTCCTCAAGTGGATATTGGTATGAGTATCAGTCAATTATAAATCAATGAAATAAAAGTTGTTATTGTCAAGAAGAAAAATACATAGATGGTCTTATGTTAGCCTTCTAAAAAATCAGCATTTTTATACTAAATCTAGAGGAAAGAACTAAAATTCAATTCTGTGTTGTAAGAACCCAGAAAGTCTTTGGTGAATTACTGTTGTTTTACTCTGCACTATGTTAACAGATGTGGATTGGAAGTTAGAGAATGTCCCTGTCCTTTATGTAGCTCTTTTCATAATAGATACCTCATGTACCTACCTCATAGAATCAATGAGCGGGCTAAAGAATCAGGACCCAAAACATACAAAAGCAAGAATGCTGATAGCAGCGTGTACCATTGCCCAGAATCATAGCCGTCACCAGTGTCACAAGTGAAGGCTGCTGCTGTTCCACCCCCTGCTTCCTGTGTCACTAAATCCTTGTCGGAAGTCTGAGGCTAGAGCATCTGACTGGGTGCATCTAGCTGAGGAGCCCAGAGCAACCTCTTTGCATGGCAGTCTGGGAAAGTATATGCCAATTTTGTGTCTATAAATCCCTAAGAGTATGGAATTTCCCAAACATGGGAACACAATTTAGATATTGGACAGTCCTCTCCCTCCTCAAAAATATATAGTTTATCTGCCTGTATTCCCACTTGATTTTAAGATTTAATTGACAAAAATAGTGACTTACTTATTTTAATATCCATAGTAATCGGGGCAGTACCTCTTATTGGAGTGATATAAATTCATAATAGAAGACTTGACTTCTTTAAGAAAGGAAAGATGATTTTAAGAATGTGTTAAAAGATGGTTCCTTTTACAGAGGATTATCTGTAAGAGATTATCATAAGGGAAAAAATAAGGTGGGAGGATGTATGCAGAGGGTGACCTTAAAATAACATAATTGAGGTTTAAGACAGGTAAAAATCTTGAATCCTTATATTTACTTTTATGTATTGTAATGCACATATCTTAAAAGTGTTTAGCTTAGTGAATTTGATGGTTTTACATATCCTCCCAAATACCTTATAACATAAGCTATAAATCTCTATTACCCAGAAAATTTCCTGGTGGCTCTTTCAATTCCGCCCACCCACTGTCCCCACCTGATGAAACTACTCTCTTCTCATTACTATTATATAGACAACTTTGGTCTGTTCTAGGGTTTATATAACTGAAACGATAGGCTTTGTATAACTGAAATCATACAGTGTGGAGTCTTTTCTCTCTGTCTTGTCTAACTCTATATTATTGGGATGCAATCATGATGCTCCATTAATCACTATAGTAGTTTTTTTCTTTATCGATGTGTATTATATTCCATTATATTAATATGCTATAACTTATTCTCCTATTAATAGGCTTTTTTTAATAAAAAATTCATACTTTATTCAAATTCCCTTAGTTTTTATCTATTGTCATTTTCCTGCTCTGGAATCACATCTAAGATATCACATAACACCTATTTGTCACTTTTTTAAAAAATTTTATTTATTTATCTTTAGAGGGGAAGGGAAGGAGAGAGCGAGAGAAACATCAATGTATGGTTGCCTTTCATGCATCCCCTGCTGGGAACTGGCCTGCAGGGAACTGGCCTGCAACCCAGGAATGTGCCCTGACTGGGAATTGAACCGCGATTGTCTGGTTCGCAGGCCCGCACTCAATCCACTGAGCTACACCAGCCAGGGCTTATTAATAGGTTTTTGAGTTGTTTCCAGTTTGGTGCTATTATGAATAACGGTGCTATAACCATTCTTACACAAGTTTTTTCTTCTTATATGTTTTCACTGATCTAGAAAAGGTAGATATATGTTTGATTTTATAGGAAATTGCCAAACTTTTTTCTAAATAGTTGAACATTTTATACTTTCTCCAGCAATGTGTAAGAGCTCAAATTTTTCTACATCCTTATCAACATTAGTAGGAATAGCCTTTTTGACTTGAGGTATTCCAGTAGATATGAAATGGTATCTCAATGTAATTATAATTCTTATTTCCCTCATTACCAATGAGATTGATAATTTTCATATGTCTTTTAGCCTATCCTCTATCTTTTCTTCTAAAGTGTGTGTTTATGTATTTTGTCATTTTAGTCTGGTATTTATTCTTTTGCTGTTGATTAACAGAAATGCTTTATGTATTTATGAGTCACATGTATTTTTTTCTAGTCTGTGGTTTGGCTATTCATTTTCTTAAGGCTGCATTTTGATAGACATAAGTTTTCAATTTTGGTAAAAATCAGTTTACCATTCTTTTCTTTTATAATTAATATTTCTGGGGTCCTAACCAAGTCATCTTTGCATTCCCTAAGATCACAAAGATATTCTATAGTTTGTTCTGGAAGATTTATTGTTCTGCTTTTTATGTTCATGTTTGTGAACGACCTTGAAATGAGTTTTCAGTATGGGATGAGAAAAGGATTGCAGTTTCTTTCTTTTAATACTTATATGTAGTTGTTTCAGCGTCTTTTAATTTTTTTCTAATGAATGACTTAGCACTTTGGTTAAAATGAATGCTTAACTTTTGTTGTGAATATGTATTATCCAATTTGATTACAATATAATTAGAACTCTACAATTTAAGTAGAAGGTACAAAGTGATCACAGTTTCTCCCCAATTTATATTTCTCATTTGCATTTATTTTAGGAGAGATCAGAGTGGCCTTTGTTCTGTATAACAACTTGGGTCCTTATTTATCCACGGAGAATGCCAGCATGAAGTTGGGAACAGAAGCTATGTCCACCAATCATTCTGTTATTGTCAATTCCCCTGTTATTACAGCAGCAATAAACAAGGAATTCAGTAATAAGGTTTATTTGGCTGATCCTGTGGTGTTCACTGTTAAACACATTAAGGTAAGAAAATGGTATGTTAAGTTCAGGTGCCCGCATTATCTATATTTGTCATAGCATGAACACATATTATTTGTTTGTAATATAGCAATTCAAAACCTAGTACATGATAGTGGTAGTTTTTTTCTGAAATGAGGAAGAAGAATGTTTCTGAATATGTAAATGCTTTATGGCAAAAACATTCAGAGATAGATTTATAAATGCCTCTCCATAATTAAAAAGAAATAGCAATATGTTCAGTAGAACTGGACATGACTTCACGTAGGATATTCCAAGTAATTATGTCTCTGTGTATAGATATACTTTTGTGCTGTGCTAAGATTGTATTCTAAATTGAACACAGATTTCTAAAGACGATCCTTTAGGAAGTTTATCATTTAGAGCAATTGAATTAACTTCTCTACTCTGCAAGATACTTTGAAGTTAACGGATGTGATGATGCTGAGACATTGGTATTAGTATCACTTAAGTATCAATTTTTGAAAAAGTAAACTCACCGCTAAGCGGAGGGCAATAGACAACAACAAATTTGCTTAGAAATGATGAGTCCCACTTAATAGGAAAACATCAATAGACACCTTCACAAAAATTGTAACAGAGTATGAAGTTGTGTTGATATAAAGAGTATGTCTACCTAATTTATGTGATCATAAAGTAGTTATTGGTTTTATTGATTTTTTTTCCTGCAGCAGTCTGAGGAAAATTTCAACCCAAACTGCTCATTTTGGAGCTACTCCAAGCGCACAATGACAGGTTATTGGTCAACCCAAGGCTGTCGGCTTCTGGCAACAAATAAGACACATACTACATGCTCTTGTAACCACCTAACCAATTTTGCAGTACTGATGGCACATGTGGAAGTTAAGGTGAGATACATATCATGAAATGAAAATGGATGCAATCAGGACACTAACTGCCAGAAGTCCTGACTCTTTGGGCCAGTCCCAAGTCTCACTTTGGAGTTTTTCTACTTCCATAGTATTTTTATTCAGGAGCTTTCTGGTGTTTAACTCATATACTTCTAGATGACTCAAAGAACTCTTTTTTCTATTGTCAACGTAGTTCCTAAAATTGAAGTTTGCTTAGTCTCTCCCCTGCTTTTATATTCTATGAATTAATGTCAGACCTCATGAACAGGGCAAGAAAAGACCCCAGGATCAAAAGCCAGTGTGGTGAGGTTAGGAGCTGGGATCTGCTACGTGGAAGACTAAGGAAGTAGGGGTGGGTTTAAATTCTGTCGAAACGACTCAGGAGAGCAGTCATTGAGCACAGTGCAAAATGCATAGTAATGCGAAGAGCTTAGCATTTTAACATAATGTAATGGGTTTTGTCCATGCAGGAAGACACTATCCTAAGGAAAAACCCACATGATAGCTTCCAGAGTCAGAGACATCACTGACTTGGCAGCACCAGTGTTTTCCCAGCATGGCTCTGGCTATTGTGGAGGATGTGAAGAGGATTTAGATTTTAGATATACTCAGGACATAAAAATAGAACATTCTGATTAACATGCTTATGGAGATTGATAGATGAGTCATTAACAAAAAATTATGTACTTGTGAATTCTCATCTCCCTGGTATCAATAAATATAGAGGAAGTATTACTGTGTAACAAATTTGGAAGAGGGAAAACTGTAGCAAAGTTGTATCTATCTGTTGTCATTGATCCAAATATCCCCTTCCAAAATTTTCTTTGACACTGTTGAAGTTAAAGATGGTACAAGCGTCCCAGAGGGAGACCAAATGCAAGCCCAGTTATGCCTTAAGAGTAAATTGCCTTAGCTGTGTCAGCACAGTTCAGATTTTTGTCTTTAAAGGACTACAACACATTTGTCAGGGCATCGAAAATTGATCTAGCTTAGCAATTTAGCCACACTAACAAATGCTAGCTTTAAACTTGGCATGTATCAGTATGGCTCTGGAATCCTATTTTTTAGCTTAGAGAATAAATTCAAACTAAAAAAAAAAAAAGAGATCGCATTTGAAGCAACAACAAATACCATTTTGCTCAGTTCATTTCATAACAACGTCTTCCCAGTCTATTATACAAGAATCTTGACTGTGACTGTTATCGTGTGTCAACAAGATATAGAAGTGGAAATCAATATTTGCCTTTATCAGTCAGCCACACAGCATGTATGTCTTGCATTTCTTGTAACACATACTCTTCTGATTACCTCAGTTGGTCCCATTTTGATTTTATAACATGATTTTGACTCTTGAACAACAGGAAGCAAGCAGATTGATCATATCTAGAAGTCCAAAGAGTTGGACTTCATTACATTAATGAAGTCCAAGTAATAACCAATATTTGGACTTCACTAATAACCAAACCTTCATTACACTGATGTTTAAAACAGAAGGCTAACTTATACAAGCACATAGGGAAATACACAGGTAATTGGAACAGTTATTTTTTTATGTTTGTAGTTGTCACTTTCTAATTCTGCAGGTAAATTGGTAATGGAAATAAAATTATTTTGGAGACTTTGGTTGACAATCTTGGAAAAAGAGCAAGAAGAGTTAGCTGAATAACCTTGAGTCATTGTTATTAAAGCTGTGGTTCCCTGATGCGTGAACTTCACTCCAGGGATCAACCTGTGTAGTGAGTTGCTGTCATCTTTCATCTGTGTGGTCTCTGCTGTTCTTTCAGCACTTCCTTCATTCTTGCATTACCATCTGTTTTAATATCTGAGTAGAGGTATTGACAAGTTGCCTGCTATACAGTATGTTCTCAACATAATTTCCCCCTCCCATCTGCCAGATATATTTCTAGATTTCACATTGCAGTGAAGCTTCTGGCCCTCAAGGAGCTCATATATGAAGGGAAGTCAAAGTTGAAAGTGAAGGTGTGTTCATGACTCTGAGAAGTATTATAGCTGGAGTCAACACTATGATGTAGGGACACAGGGGGATCATCCAGCTAAGGCGGGACTGCTCTAACACAGCTTTTCAAACCAGTACCCTTCTCTGAAGGATGGGTGGATATACTTTGTAAGGTAACTTTTGGACAATTACCACACTCCTGCACCATTTTTTCACTTTGCCTTGGATTCACCATTCTCTTTCTCCTTCAGCAGCTCACCCTTCGTAGCTTCCTTTGCTGGTTCCTCTTCATCTCCATGACCTCCCAAAATTGCTCTGACCCTGAATGTTATTCTAGATGTAATCTGGGCACTATTAGTGGTTTCTTCTCCCTCGGTGATTTCACAGAGTCACATGACTCTAAACAGCGTTTCATGATTCCCAGATTCTATCTCCATTTCTTAACTACAGACTCGTAGATTCAACTGCTGACTTCACACGTCCACCTAGACTTCTATTAAGTGTCACAATTGCAGAACTACACTGTTGGTATTCTCTCGTCTGATTCTATTCATCTTAGTAACAGCCTTCCAGATGGCCTGCCCCAAAAACCTTGTTTGATTTGCTTTGTTTTGTGTGTTTCCACTCATGCTCACATCCAGCCCTGTGAATGTTTCCTGCCAGATCCAGCATCTGTCAGCTTCCCAGCATCTTCATAATCATCACCGAGGTTCAAGCTACTAGCATCTCTCCTGTACTCTGTAGCCACAGCCCCTTAATTGGTCTCCCTTCATTCCTCTTTGTCCCCTGAAGTTTATTCTGAGCATAATGCCCAGAAGGATACTCTGAACATGTGAGTCAGACTGTGTCACTCCTCTGATTTATTCTCAAAAAGCAGTTCTGTAACCCCTTTAAGATGCAAATTAGGTGGTTCAGACCTTTGATCCAATCTGAAGGACTCCTTATCTCAATAACAGCAAAATTCCAAATCCTGGCAGTATTAGCATCTCTTGACCTCCTTCCTACTTCTTCTCCTTGCTCACTTGGCTTCAGCTGCACCAGTCTCATTGCCTTTCCACAAAGACATCATGTGTCTTACACTTAAGAGCCATCTCGTAAAGTCTTTGCTCCTGTGTCACCTTCTCAAAGATGCTTTCTGTTCCTATTTTTTAAAAAAATTTATATTACCACACCTGCACAAAATACTGTGGGGAGTAAAGAAAACCATGCCCCTGGCCTCAGTGAATTTATAGTTTATCAATGCAGAAAAGTGTTGACGCTGATTTTTCAATGTGGTGCTGAGAGAGTTTTACAGCCAGGTCAATATGGGCAGGTAAGAGAAGGAAGGGGATGCTTCTGTCCCAAAGTGGCAACCCAGATGTTTAACTACTTGCCAGTTCTCTCTTGTCTACTGTTTAAGGAAACACATGACTACCTTTTCTTGTAGACAGAAAAATAATCATTACAGCCCCGGCTGGGGTGGTTCAGTGGATTGAGTGCCAGCCTGTGAACCAAAGGGTTGCTGGTTTGATTCCTAGTCAGGACACATGCCTGGGTTGCAGGCCAGGTCCTCCAGTAGGGGGCACATAAGAGGCAACCACACATTGATGTTTCTTTCCCTCTCTTCATCTGTTCCCCTCTCTGTAAAAAAAAATATATATATATATGACTAATCATATATACATATATACATATATACACATATATATACATATATATATGACTAATCATTATAGATATTTGGGTAATGTGATTCTGTACTAAACTTACATGGTATTCATGATATTTTAAAATATTTCCATTATTGGGAATGATCTACAGGTTGCTTTGTTTTTCTGTTGTTCAGTAGAATGTTACACACACTAAATTGAAATGGGTATCTCTTCTCTTACTGGTAATTCTTCTTGCGAATACCAACTGTAGAACTATTTTAGTCCACAGGAGCATACATTTCAAACTAATTGACTAATGAACATTTCTACTATGGTTCTGTAGAGCATTATAAGTAAATGCTTTAGAAAGAATCTGACGATTTATATCACCTCTTTCTTATACTCAAATTATAATTCTTTGGGAGATAATAAAATAAAAAGTTTCCCTATTCTTTTCTGGCAGTTTAACTTGACGTTGATTTTTATCTTTAAAAGGCTTCAGTTCCTCTAGTTGGATGCTAATGCTCCTCTGTCTCTCTGTCTCTGTCTCTTTAGCTTAGTATGTCTTATTACTTCCATCCCAACTTCATGCTTGTCTAAGTGTAGCCATTGGTTTTGCTATTTAAAATCATTGTTTTAAATGATTTCTTAATTTAGTATTGATTCAAACAATGACTATTTGGAAAGTTTTAAATCTCTACCATAGATACAGTGTGTCAAAAATTTTATAGACATACTTTGTCCAGGCTAGAATAAAACATGAGGTACTTTTACATTGCAAGATTTTGAAGATTCCCATGAAAATATTTATTTTTTTAAAAGAAAATAACTTTATACTTGCAAGTCCAAAAGAAAAGTTACTTCGAGCTTAAGAAATGTTTTATTAGTGAAAAATGAAATGTCTATTGTACGATGCTAAAGGCTGTACACTTCTATTCCAAAATATTTGTGCTAATTTTATATTTTTTCATTTATAGTGTAATAGACTTGAGGTGAAGGTAGAGATTAAAAATTATAACTGGTATAATGCTTTAAACAGTGTATTTATTTAGAGAAAAAATTAGATAACTGATGATTTGAATATCCTCCAAATATGGAATTATTTCATAAAAACAAAATAGTTTCAAAAATGATCAAATTGAAATATTTTGTTATATTAAATATCTTGAATAACTTTGTATTAAACAACTGACAGCCTTCTCCAACCAAGAACTATTCTTGGATTTTCTCATTGAATAGTTTTATAAGGATGCATTTCCTTCATAGATTTATTTAAATTTAACATTCTTTATTTACCAGTATGAATTTTTATTGGCTACCTCCTCCACTAGACTCTAAGTTCAGTGTTAAGAGCAGAGAGATGTAAGAGAATCAGCCTTGCAGATCAGCTGGGGAAAGATTCTTCCCAG